AATTGAAAAAAAACAAAGAGACAACAATAAAAATTATGACTCAATCAAAGTTAGGCAATATGTCATAAGTAAAGTTCAAAATTCACAAAGTAAAGTTGTCCTTTGTCAAGAGGGTTGACCTGTTGCTTTCTTTAGCGAAAAACTCAATGATACCTGTTGAGTTCTATGTGATTGTCCATGCCCTAAAATTCTGGAGACATTACCTTATTCAAAGAGAATTTGTGCTAAACTCCGATCATGAAGCACTACGATACTTAGGATTTCAAAAAAAATTGAATCAAAGATATGCTAAGTGGACATCTTTCTTACGAGAATATGCATTTCATTTTAAACACAAAGCTAGAATTGTGAATAAAGTCGCTAATGCCTTAAGCAGATGAGCCCATTTATTGGTAACTATTTACTCAACTATGGTTTCCCTTGATTCTTTGAAAGATAGCTATGTCACTGACCCAAACTTTAAAGCTTTTTGAGAATCCTATTGTACTTCTAGAACTGACCCTTATGCTCAATTTAGCATCAAACAAGAATTTTTGTTTAAGGAAACTAGACTTTATATCACCTAAAGCTCTTTACGAGAATAACTTATCCAATAACTTCATGGTGGAGGATTGGGAGGACATTTTGGTCAAGGAAAGGCTACAACCTTAGTTGAAGAACGATATTACTGGCACCACATGCGAAAACATATAATGAAATTTGTAAAACAATGTAAAGCCTGTCAATCATTTAATGGAACCGCTCAAAACACTGGTCTATACACTCCACTTCCAATTCGAAACAAACTTTGGGAAGATATCTTCATGAACTTCATTTTAGCAAAATTTGATTTTGTGTTTGTTGTTGTTGACTAATTTAGCAAAATGACACATTTCATCCCTTGTAAGAAAACCTATGATGCAGCACATGTTGCTGATTTATTTTTTAAAAAAATTGTGAGACTATATGGCATACCTAGAACTTTTACCTTTGATAGGGATACTAGGTTCTTAAGTCATTTTTGGAGAATACTTCGATCAAAATTCAGGACTACTCTCCAATTCAATAGTGCATATCATAAACAAATGGATGGACAAACTAAAGTAGTAAATAGAAGTTTAGGAAATTTGCTTAGGTGTCTTGCTGGAGAAAGACCTTCTCAATGGGATTTGATTTTACCCCAAACCAATTTGCTTATAACAATTCCCTTAATTGATCTAATAGAAAAATCCCATTTGAAATTATTTATGGCCAACCTATTCCCTACATCTTAGATCGAACTTCAATACCCATGTCTAGTAGAATTAGTATTGAAGCAGCAGAAATTGTTGATCATATTCAATCGATCCAACATCAAGTCCTAGAAAAACTCCGTATGACAAATGCTAAATACAAAATAATTAATGACAAACACTGGAGAGAGTGTTATTTTCAAGAGGGAGATTTAGTTATGGCTTATTTTCGACAACAACGCTTTCCCATTAGTACATTTGGCAAACTAAGTCGAAAGAAATTTGATCCTTTCAGGATACTACGAGGGAACAAATTCTTCTCTGCTGGATCTTCCACCTTCTATTGGAACTTCTCATATGTTTAATGTTGTCGATCTTATACTACATATGAAGGAGAACCGAATGATTTGGTAGATATAGAGACCTTTCCCCTTACTATTTGAGGTTAGATCAATGATGATTTCATTGACGATGTTGTGGATATCCATACTACTCAGACTAGACATGGAGTGCACCGACAAATTTTTATTAGATGGAGTGGACGTCCTCTAACTGATTGTTCTTTGATTGAAGCTAAAGAGTTGCCGATTCATCGTCTTGATATATCTATCTGCGGGTTACTGAAGCATTCTCATATGGAGATGAGATTCTTCCACCATGGGAGAATTGATATAATTAAGAATTATCATTCTATATTTTTATTTTTCTATGTTTTGGGTGTTTTTATTTTTCTATGTTTTGTACTATATGTAATTTGGATTCTATGTTCATTTTATTTGTATTACCCTATGATGTAAAACAACCCCTGATCATGCTTGGGGTGCTCTTAGGTAATTTCTCTCCATTGGCTTTCCACTTATGTTGAATTTGTTTCCTTGCTCAGTGGTGGCTAAATAGGTATTTAATTTTAGGTTATTTTTACTTTATTGGGCTTGACCCATTGCTTTCCATGTTGGTTGGCTGCTTGGTGTTCCCCATGATGGCCTTGCTAGCCCTTGGTTTTCCCTTTTAGCTTTGGTTTCTTTGCTGCTGGCCATTCAACCCCCCTCCTTGTTGATTCCTAAACTAGTGTTTTATCTTCTCATTAAGTGGTTGTCATGGTTGGCTTCTATTGGCTATTTGGGTGACACATTTAAGCGGGCAATTATGGCATTCTTCTCTAATATAATATGATTGATTTGCTGCTAGAAATGGTTGTTGTGAGTGAAAACAAATCCAAACCTAAGGGTTTCTTCCTAGCTTGAGGTTATCTTCTTCCTACACCTATTTCTTTTTCTCTGTCTTCTATCTATTTCTTCTCTTCATGATTTTCCTTCCACTTGTATCTTTCTTCTCCAACTATTATGAGTATAAGGTGGACTTGCCCCGTTTGTTGGCATTTGCCATAGTAGCGTCAACTTGAGCTGGATCATAATTTATGCGGTGAACCACTGGTTTGATTTTTCCTTTGAGCATCATTTTCTATTTTCATGAGTTGCATGTGAGTTGACCTTACAAGGTTGTTCTGAGAGTATTTTAATTTAGTTGTTTGGTTATTTTGTGTGCCTTCTTTCAATTTTATACATTTTGTTTCCTACTTAGCTTTTAATATTTGCGTATATTTATGTTATATTGAAAGGGAGTATTGTCATTTGCATTCCTAGTGTTCTCCTACTTGTTTTAGAACCTAGATTGCATCAATGTGCATATCAGATACTAGAATGTCGATGAGACATTGAAGATGACCTTGCACTCTGTCATATACATGCTTCGAGGAGAGCACCTCGTGATGAGTTGAGGACAAAGCAAATCTAACAATGCATTAGCCGAGCCTTTGGTCTCATCAGATGAGGATACCTCATCTATAACAAAAAGACAACAAGTCGTTTGGATGTCCTTATCCAGTCTAAGGATTAGTTGAGTTATAGATCTAATCTCCCAAAGGACAAGAAAATGGAGCCTACATCAGAACAATGAAATATCTCATGGCTATGTCGGGTGACAATGCTACGATTCACCTGTAAGCAAAAGTAGGAACTTAGTAGTAAAAAATTGTTAGACACTGAAGCGCAACGCCACGCCACTGGATCCGTAACACTCATACAAGTGGACAGAAGACGTTTGAAAATTCCTAAATATATTTGGCGTGTTTATCAATAGTAGTTATTTGCATAATTGATTATCACAAAACACCCTTTTATATTACATGCAAATATTTTAAATTTCCATCATACATGTATTGCAGCATGCATAAAAATTCTTGTAAACATATTATGCAAAATGCATCTAAAAGCATACACCCGTATGAGCCCCGACGAGCATATTATATTTATGCACGTGACGCCTAAGGAGGCTGTGCGAGTTAAGAAATGAACTTAATTTCGAGTCTAATCTTTCTATGTGACTGGATAAGAGCAACACGGCTCAAACTGTTAAACAGATATACGATCACGACATCAACCAGAATATTTGTTTTATAATTCATATTGGGCCTTCACGACATATAACAAAAAAATTCGCTCATAAAGGCTAAAGCCTACAATGAACTCGATTCTCTGCTGCCAAGTAGGCAAAGTCGACAAAGTTCAATGAACAAAAATACAACAACCCATGAAAACCCTGATGATGGTCGTGTTGAATGTAAATCTTAATAGGAGAGATTAATTCTCAAGAATCTACCAAAAGCACCAAGCCTACAACAAACCCAATCCTCTATCGGCAAATAAGGTAGAGTTAACAAGATTCAATCAACAAAAAATAAAAATTGCCCCTATATCCCTATGATGGCCGTGTTGAACGTAAATCTCAACTAGAGCGGACCAATACCACTTTAAAATATATTCAAAATGCTCATAAAAATCCAAGATATTCGTAATTTTATACTAGAGCAGCTGTTTTGATGACGTGCATGTTCGGTTCCACAACGTGGCGCCATGCTGACGTGCTCAATTTGTACTTAATTTCTAATTTTTTCTTCTCTTTTTTTTTTTATTAAATAAATAATAAAAAAGGAAATTTAATCAAACATTTTTATTATCTGCTTAACTTACCACAAAATCGATTAAAGTTGTTTCAAACGAATTCTAAGTCATCAACTCTCGTTACTTTCATTCAACAGCAATGACCCACAGATAATAGAAGTATAATCTGGTATCCTGCTATAAGTTAGCAACTCAAGTGAGTTACTTACACATATGCGTGAAAGCTGGATTGGTTCATCAGCAAGCTTGCTTGGAAAAATAAAAGCTAATACAATTTCTAAAATCCGTTAGTTGATCCCTTGCAATGTATCGAATCAACTTCAGAGAACACGTACAGGTTGCAAAACATCAATAACTAGTATTATTTCCTCTCTTCGACTTTGCAATATCTCAACTATTCCTTCAGCGCCGTTTCGTCTTTATCTTAAAAAAAAACGGATAAATGAAAACTAACCCCCCTTGCCATACAGCCAAAGAGGATCTTGTAAACTGTCGCAACGCCATTCAAACGTGTATTGAAAAATTAAATCCTACTTGTAGCCAAACAGGATTTCAGGCAAAATTAAAGCCAGATTTAACTTAAATCCTGCCAAAGAGTTAAAATCACAAACTTAAATCCTACGGAGCTGTTTGGTATCGGATTTACAGCTGGATTTAAGACGGATTTACGCTAAATCCAGCCAAACGGTTTTTGTGCGCGCGTTAAACCCGGCTATGGGTAAATCCCGGATTCAAGGATTTACGGCTTAAATCTCGGATTTACTAAATCCCTCGGTTCAGCGGATTTATGGGATTTGGCCGAAGAAGCGAGCGAAAGGTTCAAAGTTACCTTAACAGCCAGCGAGCTCCCGTTGTTGCTTCCGATCAAAATGTTATAACTTCCGATCGGACAGGAAGGGAAAGTCGTCGAAGGAGCAAAGTCGAACAGAGCCTAAGAAGCGACGCGAGCAATCTCGAGTAACGAAGCCGAACTGCAACGACGAAAAGACAAAAAATGAAAGGCAAACCCTATAGGCGCCTCTAAGTTATTCTATTACTTGATTAATATAATTAAAATAAATTTAAAAATTAATAATTAAGTAAAAATTATTAAATAATTAATAGTATAATTAGTGCATATATTTTTTTGGGAGGAAAAATTAGTGCATATTTAATTATCTAATTTAACTTAATTGATAGTAAAGTATATTAAATTAATATTTTTAATTATATAACTTAAAATATATATTATAAATATATAATTAATAGTAACTTATACTTAACATGCTATTAAATTTATATCACATCACTTTTTTTATTATAAATTTATATTTAACATTACCTCAATGTATTTAGTTATAGATCTACTCAAATGAAAAAACCTTTATTATAATGATACAATAGAAAAAATTGAATAATTTTTAATCAGTGCTCGAATCATATATTTCCATTTCAAAAGAGGTTATTATATGATTCGAATAAGATTTTTTGTAATGTTCGAATATGACTTTAAGAAGTATCAAACACATTAGAGTATAATCCAATATATGTATCACATCATGATTTGAAGCATAACACCATTGCAAAATACATATAAAATCACTTTGAGACAATTGAATGCAATTGCTATATATATTTTGAACACACGCACATGCATTACAATTGCTATATCTATTTTGCTATCACACCATGGCCTATTTTTTAACCATATACACTTTGCATCAATCCTTATAATCAAGATTGATGGATTGGATACCTCCTTATTTATCTATATAATTGCCAGCTATTGATCCCCAAAAGTCCTTTTTCTCTTAGCTTATACACTCAATTTCATTTGATTAATCCCTTAGCTCCCCTTCCTCACATGCACATATAATAACAAGAAGTTGAACCTTTGATTGTATATCCTTCTCCTACTAAACCTCATTAAAGGTTTGATCGGTGGAAGAAACCTCTTACTTTCTTCTTCCTCAACCTCCTCCCTCCTATCTTTCCCGTTTATAAACAACTCTGTAAAAGATTTATTAGAGCATCTAACTTCCGCTTTGACCTCATTCGATTATTCTTTAATCTTATTTAATTATTCTCTTGCCTTATTTGGCCTCCTCTTAACTCTAGAATAATGCTAGAAAGTTTTTTCATCCCCTTTTTAGGATAGTATGAATTGTACCTCTACTATCTTCTTTGTTCTCTTATAAAAAATATGGGTGCTTGATTTCTTCTTTATAGTCTTAGTTATGATCGGCTGAGTGATAGCATATACAATAAACTTATAGAAGTTCTCATTAGCAACTCAATATAGTAGCTTAGAAAGGATAACTCTATATAAAATAAGAAAGGATAAAAATATTAACACCTTGTATATAGCTTCATCATCAGCTATATATTCCTACACAATAATAAAATATTTACATATTTATTCATAAGTCATGGTAAAAAACATTCATACTTTAAGCACCTTATATCTCTTCTAGTTCAACATCATTGATATTGTATCCCCAAGGAACCTATCATATATGTTCTCAATGTCTTGAATGACTTCATAAGCCTAATACAGTAATGATATTGCACAAAAATTATAGTTTAATTGACTAGGGCACCCTCCTTACTATGAAGAATTATTACGTCCTCCGACCGGATGCAGAGGAACATTCGGTCGTAGGCAAAATCGCGCCTATACAGAGGTGTACCGAGTTTTTTTCAAAAAACTCGGTACACCTCGGTATAGGCGCGATTTTGCCTACGACTGAATGTTCCTCTGCATCCTTACACCGAACCAAATAAAAGTTCCCTTACTACATATGCCTAAGAAGATAGAGAGAGAAGTCTAAAATTTTTTTAAACAACTTCTGTTTATCAAAACTCATAAAAATTCTCATAAAATATTTTATATTTTAGATTGAACAATACTTAATATTTTTATTCTTTTCATTTTTTTGGGTTCTAAATCACTCAAAGGAACTTTCTTCCTAAGATAAATCACATAATGTGTGATGCTTAAGATACTTTCTATAAAAAGAATTTAGCTTAAGTTCTAAAAATTTTCAACTAAATTTATCAAAGAACAATATCGCCCTTTTGATAGGTGAAACCTCATATTTTAAGGCTAAATTAGGCCATATAGTAGAGGATGAATCGCCATATCCCAATGAGCGGTTGTCTTTCAACAAATGAGGGCCTATGAAATAACATTAAAGTGATGTATCAAATGACTAATTGGGATCTAATAGGTTCGCTAATATATGTGATGAATCAAGTAAATGTAGAAATGATTTGAACAAGATTCTATGAATATATCATCTTTTGTCATTAAGCTTGAGATTCACTTAACCATGAACATAGTCAAACTAAGCTTGACATTGAGACATTTTATTAAAAATAATGAGTTGCATCCTTTAGAGGAACCTCGTGATCTTAAACTAAAAAAGAAAATACAAATTCCTAGATAGAAGTTTTTACTTGATGAATATGAAAATTAAGGAATTTATGATTTATTTCTCTCAAATCATGAAAGCATGCCTACAAAAGGAGAGGGATAGGGGCAGTTCAACCATAAGAGTCAAATCATCCAAACTAGTCTTACAATCTTATATGGATTAGAAAAGCTCTTAACAATTTTGTATTGCTTTAAACCACCACCAAGATGAATTTAAATTATGAAACCGGTATAAACTCCTGCAAAGAACTTAATCCTCTATCGACAGGTAGATACAGCTAACAAGGTTCAACCCATAAAATGTAATGACCCCCTACACCTCGAAGATGGCCGCGTTGAACGAAAATCTCAACCGAAGGGGTTAATTCCAAATATTCAAATGCCTTCCAAGTTCCACCCAAATACCCAAAATCCAGAACTCCAAAAAATACCAAAATCTGAAATATTTAGAATTGAAATAATCCATCAAATCACCTAAAGCAAAATCCATCCACCCTCCGTAACAGTTAACCGAGGTGGACAAATTTAAAAATCACTTCATCTCACAAAGAGCTATTGTCTGGTCGAGAATATCATTAGGATTCATTCTCAAATAGTCTCCTGCCAACAGGGACATGACATGTGTCATTTAACCGGCAGTTTTGCTGCCAAATGGCACCGCATGTAAATGATAATAACTTGGGGCCCTCTGACCGAGTAATTCACCGCCACAAGGCACCGCTAAATTACGGTCATGGTTAGAGCCCATAAGCTCCCAAATGACATCAAATTCTTGAGATATGAATCAATATGACATAATTGATAGGGGCACAAAGTCCTCTGTTAGCTAAGGCAGATTCAAAATTGTTCTCTTATGTAAATACTCCCCTTAGGTCTACAAGGTATCCTTAGATGACATAACCCAAGGTTGCCGAAAAAGATCATTTTGTCAAGTTGGATCGACTACCTCCTCTGACTAAGTAGAACATGGATCATAATGTCCCGAGGCGATGGAATCATTGGATCTTGATCAGTTCCATCATCCACTCCCTCACCATCTGCTTTAAGTGAAAGAGGGTTAATGTTTCTATTTTAAATATCAATTTTTCAATACCAAACCATGCTTCTACTATGTGTTAGATAACATGTATTTCTACGTATCTAATTGACGACTAGCCTTAATTGAAAGTTCTCTCTCGTTATCAGGAGGATAATTAACTATAAGAGCTTGTGCCTATAAGAAACCAAAACTTAGATCATAAAGTCCTCAAAAAATAAGGGCGAAATCTCTTGGTAGTGTCTTATCTACAATCCCAATCTGTCTTCCCTAAATTTATATTGTAACTTAAATCCGTAAAAGCAATGATGAGGCCGAGGACGAATTTTCATAGCCCACACTTTCTAATAAAAAAATCATCATCATCTTCTTCTAATTTCTTTCGATTCATTACATTCTCTACTTATAAAATGAACTCTAATATGTTATAAATTCAATTTATATTTATTTAGTGAGGAAACAACAAATTTTAAAATATTTACTAAAAAATGCTTGGAATTAGATAGACATCGAATTAAGTCTAATATGTCCCAATTTATCCGCTAGTTTCACCAACTAAAATAAAAGAATGATTTAGATTTCATTTGAAATAATTTTTTTACTATTTTTTATCATAATTTTAAGTACAATTTTTTTTTAAAAACAACAAAAAAATTATAGCAAAAGTTATGAATAAAACGCTTATTAAAATTCCACACAAAATTAAAGCCCTACAATTCTTAAGCTCCACCTTATTTGCAAGAAACACCAATATCAATACTAAGCCTATAATTTATATTATAATTATTCGACAAATTTTACTATTGCTATTATTTGGAAAATATCTTTTAAAGTTTCAAGGGTTGGCATTTATCATTTCAAAAACGTCAGAGCCAAAAGTAACAAAATTTAGAGCAAAAATTAAGTATCCTTCAACATCAAAATTGCAATGTCCTATTTAAATTTTCTTTACCTTATTCCTATATATTTGTAGATCCATGGGAATTATTTGCAGAATTTATTATTACCAATTATATTCAAATTAAGCCGCATTGATAAATATATTTTTTGGAATATTTAGGTCAAGGCAAATACACACATCATATACATAAAAATCAAATCCAATACCTCTTAGTTGATAGCATAGGCGACCAAAATAAGCTATTTATTATTAATAAAAATTAATAGTAAAAAGCATCTCAATACAAACTGTGATGATAAAACAAACATAAATTAGCTCATTACAAATTCACTGTTTTTATAATCAAATCAAGTGCTTGACCAATCAAGGGGTAATTGGATTTCAATCTGATTAAATGAAGACTGCTTTAATGTTAAGCTGTTCAAGAAAAAGAAATAAAATGCAGTCAATTACAGCTTCATTTAGGACGATTTTTTTTAATACATTCTAAAATAATTTTTTTAGTTAAAACATTTTCTTAAATTAAAAAAATTTTATCCGCTTTAAAAAAACAATGCGAAAGCTGCCTCACTTTTTTTACTATTTTATAAAATAATTTCCTACCATAAACATTTCTTGAATTAGATTTTTTTTTGAAGAAAAAACTATAAAAAACAACAAAAAAACCTATACCAAACGAAACCTAAATTTACTCTATTTGTGCCATTAATTAGGCTTTATTGATCTTTCATTTGTTACTATCTATTAGATGTTGATTACATTGGAGTGATAATTATTATTTTAAAATGCAAATTTAAATTGTTACAGATTAATGAAATTATTCCAGTCATTATATATCCATTGATAGGGTTTTGGGAGGAATAAAGAACTAGGCTGTAGTGAAGATCAGGTAAAAACTCAGTAAGAACTATTCTATCAAATTTCTAGTAATAATGGCATCCTAACACAATTATATCAAAGAAAGAAAATGGTAGAAGTTACAGAGAATTTAATTTTCAAATAAATATGAGACTACATAGACCTAAAAATGAAAATACAGTTGATTAGTTTCAACAAATAAAACGTTATATCTGAATAAAAGCAGTACCTTATGGATGCTTCACTCGATCGTCTAAGAAGTGAAATCTGAAACTGAAGCTATTTTCTGTTCACTCTTGTGAAGAATTTCCTCACAGCATTAATGACTGGGAAAGGGTTCTCCAAATGCACCGCATGGCCACATTCTGGAACTATAACCATTTCACATAAATCTTCTTGACCGGTGACTTCATCAGCACAAGAGCTTTTGATTTCGTTGCACATCTCCTCTGCAATTCTTCTGAATTTGAGATCTTCTTCTCCCACAATGAGTAGAACAGGATTCTTGCAGTGCCTTAGTTCATCCCAAAGAGGCCTGGCATCCGAATGACATTGAGATGTCAGAACATATATAAATGATGATCACTTAGCTCTCGGGGTTGTTTTATTTCCATTCAAAGCTATCTTCTAATAACCAAAACGATGAAGAAAGTTGGAAATGTACCCACCTTTGCCTTCCAGTGCTCAAGTCAGTGAGGGATTTTGCAAGAGATCTGATATCTTGGTGTTTTTCACGCTGCCTTACTATCTTATTGAAGAGAGGATGAGCCCTTAAGCTGTGAAATAGAGGGGGAAAAAAAAACGAGGGAAAAAGATAAAGCAGTGAGTTGACGCATATTGCATCGTTGCTTCTAATTTGTAAACTCATCAAGCAATACTGCAGCAAGTTAGGACAATAACTAACATCACGATCAGAGATGACAACCATTTTCTTGCTTAATATACAAGAATGCACTAATCCATCAGGAACAAAAAAGGGAGATTTACATACATACCACTTTATTTCATGCTATTTACATATCTAACACCCAAAACATTAAAATTGCAAGCCTACCACCCATAGAATAAATTTCGGTGCATGGAATGAAATATTATAGTTTATAGGATGGTATAAATGGTAGAAAAGAATTATAGGAGTGATATATTTAATATTAAAATTGTATATGAATGGTAGACATGTAATATTAATATTTTGGGTGTTAGATATGTAAATAACATGAAATAAAGTGGTATGTATATAAATTTCCTAAAAAAAATTTCGTCCAAAGATAGACATGATGCCATCTGCTGTTATCTTGGAACAAATATCGGATCACGGAGATTACATCTATTATCATATATGACCAGAGTACCCCATAGATTTTAAGATTTATGAGTAGAAAATAGCGTCCCACATTAGAAATGAAACAAGTGTTGGGCTCTTGGGCTCTTCATATAGAAGTAGTGAGCCCTACCCACAAGCTTTAGTTTTTGAGTTAATGGGCACTCATCTACAAGTTAGTGTATTGGTCTCGACTAGGGCCCGGTCTTCCACCCTCCTAATATTTGATATCAGAGCTAATAATTCAGTTGGGTTTGAATGTTTGAAAATACTTGATGATGGATATGCAGCTCTCACTTGGCTGATGTTGTTGAAAAATATTCCATTTGAGTTGAGAGTGGAAACAGATGTAAAGGGTTATATTCATTTTTGATATGTGAGTGAAAAATAGTCGCACAAATTGCATGTAAAATAAGAGTCAAGTGTTGCCAATGTTTAAAATTGTGTATTCGGGTATTGAGGAGTTTTTCATTCGTGAGGCGAGGCGTAAGCATCAAGGCGTTTTGAGGCGTAAGCCTCAAAATCAAAAGATTGCGTAAACATAAAATGATAATTTTTTTATATATTAATGAGTGAATAATATAAAACATAAAAAAGCATAAGATATGAAGTGAAATCAAAATATCCCAATAATAAGACAACATGAAATATAGTTCAACTAAAAATTCTATCTTTCTCAAATCTCAATATTCTTTTCATTAACATATAATTCAAATTTCCAAAAACAAATAGCAATGACATATCACATAAGAACTCATAAGTCATCAACACTGTCATCACTAAGGGGTTCTTCATTTGAATTATCATTATGATGAACTACTCTCTCCCCTTCCTCCTCTCCTGTAGAGTCCAATGTCAGGCATTTACTTCAAGATTTATGTAAGTTTTAATATATATAGCATGAGGCATACGCCTCATGCCAGTGAGACGAGGCAGGCCTCAAGGCGGGCCTCAACCAAGTTGAGGCACAAGCCTCATAAAAAAAACTCGAGGCGTAAGCATCGAGGCATTTTTTACTGGAATTGCGCAAAGGCGGGCCTCAAGGTTTGCCTCATATTGCACAATTTTAAACCATGAGTGTTGCAGGTTTGCCGTATACCGCGCAAAGTGATCAACTAAAGATTGGGTAGAATAGGTTTAAGTTGCTTTAAGAGTCTGTACTTTTACTATTTTTTTTAATTCTACATTTCTTGAGTCAAAGTCTAGTATTTTATGGATGTTAAACTTGGTCACCATGCGCGCGCGCACACACACACGGGGGAGTGAAGAAATGAGAAAATTAGAAGTGTAATTTTTTATGAACTAATTGTACAGTACGATCTGTACGATTAACTATTTAGAAAATCATTATAACCAGGAGGGTGAAAAAGAGGTCAAGGTTCTCCGTCGCACCGGGTTGGTGAAAAGATTATAAGGGCTTCTCCGCCTAGCTGTGGTGGCTAAAGGAGACACTAAAGTTTTAGTGCAATACTCGGAGAGGACTCCAGGGAGTGGACGTATGTCATTATTTGACCGAACCACTATAAATCTATGGTGTGTTCATTATGATTTTACTTTCTGCAATTTACTTTTCTGCGCTTTATTTTTTTTGAAAATTTACATGTTGAAAAATTGTATGTTTGATGATATATTAATTTGAGCAACTCATCATCATTATAGTTATAAGTTTTGTTTCGTTAATTTGCTTCTCTATAAGGTGATAACATTGTTTGTTTTTTACATTATTAAGAAATCCAAAAAATTATTTTGTGCTAAAGATTTTTTTTTGAAAACAACCAATTCACCCATCCTCTCGGTGTGAGGAATAAGTTCAACGAGGCTTTAACATCCTACATCAAACTTTCATCAAGTTCTTAAATAGTAGTATTGGCCCTTAGCCATTGATAGGTGTTCATCTGCTAGTGCATTGGATTCAACTTTAAACCCCAATGTCTCATTGTTCGAATAATAAAAATGTCAAGTTTGCTTAGAAATAGAATCATCATTAATGCTGGAGCCCTACTTTTGAAATTATACACAATAAAGAAGTTTGATTATCAGATTCAAAACCTATCCTTGATTTGTGCTCCTTTCTTAAGACTTGAGGGATTATGATTAGAAAAATAAAAATCAAGATAAGCTTGATCATATCACTACATTACTACAGTATCGCCAGGATCCCAACAATGATCTTGAGGCACTACCATATAAATCACAAGCATTAGCGTTTCCAAATTTAACCAAACGAGTTTTTAAACACACACAAGGTTGATGGTTGCAGCCAAATATATTAATATTTTCAGATAATTAAGGGAGAATATTATAAAATCCAAGAAAAGCGTTGAGAAACACGGCGCCTAGTTTAAAAGAATTAAAGCCTTTCCTCTGGTCCTTTGATTGAGACGGGGTCCTCATGAAACACAGGAAAACTTTCCCATAACATTTTAGATCATGAAACACTAAGATACTGTTTGGATGGCAACTTTTTCCCTACTTTAGGGAAAGTAACTGACCCAAACTAAAAACTGTTGGAAAGTAGATTGCTAAACGTCTGTTATACCCCTGAAAGCTAGAAAAATTTCACCTTTAACAAAAACCTAATAAACCTTATTCTTTCCATCACAAAATTACCCATATACCTCCTCGACTTCTTTCCTTCATCAGCCTTTTTAATACCTCATATCACCACCGATGCTTAATGCTGGCTTTTGATTGAAAACAAGTCCGCAACAAAAGTTCATTGTTTGTGAATAGCTTGTGTTTAGCTTGTTAAAAAATTCTTGTATGATTTGTCCGTAAAATAAGTGAGCTGAAAATGAACATATGTTTCAAACTCATTTTTGACATGAGCCAACCTGAACAGATATTTGTTCGATTGTATTCGGTTCATTATTGGCTCAAAATAAATAAATAAATCAATCAACACACACACAAACACACACACACATATATATATATATATATATATATACAAATTAGATAGTAGATAAGTAGAATGATTATATTATGTTTTACTTTTTTTTATTTATTATTCAAAATTTACATGTATTTGGCTTGCATTTGATTCAAATTCTAATGAGCTAAACACAAATATGTTATTCACGAATAATTTCAAACACAAGCTGAGCATTAGCAAACTATCCACAAAATTTCAAATGAGTAGAACATGAGCTAACTATCCACACATTTAAGCTCGACTAATTTACACCCTAATTGAACTTACCATCTTTGCTCATTGATCCTATCCATCGTACACTATTTTTAGGGAGATTCTGTTTTTTAACATTACTTTAAAATAATAGTAATAATAGGATAATGCTGTTCAGTTTTTTAACTTCTTAAATATATTTCATAATTACTAACAGCTTTTATAAATTAAAATCATAGCATTTATTGTTAAATTAGAGTAAGGGAAAAATGTCATTTGACAAGAGAAAACAACCAAACAACAAATTTTAACAAACCAAATAATTCGTTTTTCTTTACATCCATTATTAACACCATAAATAGATAAACTACTGGACAATAGATTATGAAGAAAATAGACAACTGGAGTCTATCCATGGTAAAAGCAACAATTATTTCTAATTACCTGCAATTGAAAATTACCTTTTCCATAGGCTGCCTTCATACCATGTCTCCAGGAAACTGTTAAGTCCATGAGACAATAAGTAGGAAGCCCTTGCTTCATCTTGAGATAAGCGAATCCTCTGAGCATTTTCATTCCTTAAACCCGGACTTCCTGATATTAAGACAGCTCCATGTATCTGCAAACATACTTTAGAGCCAGTAAATAAGACAGTCGGAAGAATCTGAGATCAATACCTTTTCACAGTATTTCAGAGACATGTACAATGCAATCCTTCCTCCCATCGAGTATCCAACCAGGATGACCTTTCCAATTGTAATATTATTAATCAATTGCAGCAACATTTCAGCCACTGATTCGATTGATTGATAAGGTTCTTGTGTTAAATTTTTCTTATGCCATTGAACACAAGAATCTCCATGCCCTGGAAGATCAATAGAGATGCATCGTGTAGTAGCAGAAAAAGCTTTCATCAATGGAATCCAATCTTGGCCGCTCCCGAGAAATCCATGAAGAAAGATAAGGTTACCCTATATCGTTAATATTGTGTCTTGGTGAGATTAAAAGAGAGAAGACATGCACAAAAAATCTGCAGATCAGAGAGTTACAAAATGGACATTCTTGGAAACAAGCCCCGCCATCAGATGAACAATTCAAGAAAATAGGAAATAAAAAGTAGAGCCAATGCTTCCTAGGCCTAACCTAAACCATGAAAAAAGCAAGAATGGGCCCCAAGTCAGTTATATCATAACAAATAATTTCCTTTTCTAGAAAAGGTTTAATTATAAGTTATCGCATCACCGTATGTAACTGCAAAAGAGAGAAGCTGGAAACTTGTGTTGACTCCATTGAAGAATTAGGGAAAGATAAAGTTTAAGTAAAATAAAAAAGCCATTATCCGAGTTATGAACATTGACACATGGACACCGAACAGCCCTACCTATTTTACTATGTAACACTATATCAATGGCATTTAACCTCAACAATCTTCCCCATTGATGCCGACAATTGCTTGATCAACTCTAAAATCTTAAATTACTCATCTAATTCTATGATTGGACATAGGCCTCTCAACCTAGAGTGGCATCATATCATTTATAGAAAGTGGTCTTCCTAATTTTTCGAGTAAAATCATATAGCTTAAATACCACATTTTGGAGAGCATGAACCACACAATCAATCAATGAACCATCCATCATTAGCACTTTATCAATAATTTTAATTAATCTTTATGAATCCAAATATTTCTCAAACTAAAGGGAAAATTCCATAAGATGATGGTGAGACCTGCAATGTTTTATGGCGCAGAATGTTGGCCATTAAAAGAGAAACATAAAATTAAGTTAAGTGTTGCAGAGACAAGGATGCTCAGGTTGATGAGTGGCTTCAATCTTTGAGATAGAATGCAAAACAAGTACATACATAAAAAGGTTGGAGTAGCTCCAGTGGCAGACAAGATTATAGAAAATCTCCTTCGATGGTTTAGACACAGAAACATCAAGTCTTTTGGTGACCTAGTTAGGAAAGTAGATGTATTAGATTTGACATATATTAAGAAAGGTAGAGGTAGGCTGAAAAAGACATGGTTAGAAAATCAAAATTGTCATTTTTATTAGATTTAAATGAGAATTTGACTCTTCATAAGACATAATGGAGAAAAATGATTCATGTTGCCGACCCTACGTAGTGGGATAAAGGCTTGATGTTGTTGTTCTTTATTGATCCAAGTTTAAAAAAGAGTTTTTATGACAAACTTGTCTATGGAGTTCTAGCTTCCAATTTGTTAATTTCACAAGTTTTTCTTATACATGGACTATAATTAAAATATATTCAATAATTTAATTCTAAAACACATTTTAGAATAAAATTTATAATAATTACTTTTGTGCTTATACTTGCAATAATATTCAATATAAATGCGAGAAATATAATAATGATTTCTTCTAGGATAGAATTTGCAAATAGTAAATAAAAATATCAATCATTTTATAATTAAATAAAAAATGTTTTAGATACCTATGTTCAAAATATATAACAAATTTCTGAAAAAACATAAAAAAGGGCTACAAAATATAACTTAGCATTACAAAAGAAGTCAAAAGAAGCCAAACACTACTACATGTAGGCCTAAGTTTCTAACATATTTTTGAATTTGAAAAAATTGTCCAACATATAACAAACTCTAATAAGATAGAAAATAGACTTGCGTTGTTTGAGTATATCCAAATGCTAGAAGATTCATCACTCAATCAGGTTGATAGCATTAATATTGAAGCATTAGAAAGTAAAAGTGATAGAACTAAAGTAGAATAGGAAGTAGTACAGAATAATTTGTAGAATTTAGATTTATCATCATAGCCTAAGCAAGAATAGACTTCTTGAGTAAGAAAATGGGGATTTTGCACTTCAAACCATACCAAAAATATCTTGGGAATGCTTGGAGGATCTTGTAGATTTTTTTTTTAATTTTTCTAAAATTTTTTATGCGCGCCATCAAATATTTCAATGTTATGCTTCATATTTACATTCATCATCCCCAAATTCTTGAACTCTTTCAAATTGCCAATTAGGTTAAATACTTTAAAGTTTGACTCTAGTTTTAAAAATATTTCTCAAAGCTTAAATTATTCATCCCCCTTCCCCACACTTCTTTTCCCTCCACAAGTCTTCATTATATCAAAATTGCTTGTCACTACAACATTGATTGTTACTGCACAAACATTGTATCACCTCAATACATTCTTACCCCATGACCGCCAAATGTTGACAAACTCTTGCCATTCATTGCTAGCTCTTCGCCAAATTTAGCCACTAGCTCCACTATTACACAACTACTAACAACCTATACTCTAGCCTACATCACACGAATGCTAACCACCTCAAAAGCATTTGTCAAATATCGTCCCAACCATCCCTGCCCTCTTGATCCTATGGCTAGCATGAGGATCTGTGGTAGGCTCAACTGGATAACGCCAATCTCCTTCTTCCATATTTGGGTGGCTGATTTAGGAAGGAACATATTAGCACAATTATGCATTATTATGTAATTATTTATTTCCTTACTAAGATATCTTGTATAGATATACACTACGGGAAAACACGCGATTACCGTCAGACTTTCCAGCGAAAATTATGCGTCGGTAAAGAACGGCGCTTTGGTGCGACGAAAACTTTACGGCGCATTTTCCGGCGCATAGTACGACGGCATATTTCCGGCCTCCGTTGCGCCGGTATGGGCGTCGGCATAAACCGACATTTCACTTGTTCCGTCGCACGTTACGGCAGAAAATCACCGGCGTAATTACCACCGGATATGGCGCCGGTGTATTTAAACTCAACAAAATAAATCCGACGCATAATGCGCCGGAATTGTCTCCGGCGGAATTGACGCCAGAAAATCCGCCGGCGAAAGCCCTATTTTTCGAGACCGAGCCCCTCTGGCCTCTCACTTGTTTCCTTCCGTTCTCTCACCTCGCCTGTTTCGCTTGTCGCCCTCCGTCGCTCGCCGTAGATCGAGGTCGCCGACGGTCACCGGACTTCGCCGAGGATCCTACGGTCCTACCCTAGCTTTCCTGGTCGCCAACAATCGTTCATCTTCGCCGACGGTCGTTCATCTCGACGGAAGGTTTTTTTTTTTCGTTTCGTTTGACGAAATATTTTCCTATTTCAGTTGGAATACATAAATGATTAGGTTTAAGCACATATCTTTTTGCTTTAGCCATGGATGTCTTTTTTGCTATACATTTGCAAGAGGATGTGCCGTAGTGTATGCTTTTTGCTGATGATATTCTTCTTGCTGATAAGACTAGAGACGAAGTTAAGGTAAACTTGAACAATGGAGGTCAACATTAGAGTTTAAAGGTTTTCATTTGAGTAGATCTCCTAGCAATGTAATTTTAAATGTGATAGCTCCTAGCAATTTTAAATGTGATAGTTTAAAGGTTTTAAGATGACCCAGCACCTAGTTTGTCCAAAACATGTTACAATGCAATGTAATGAATATCTAAAACCAAATACATAGAATTTAGTTTTAATAGTGATAGCTCTAGTGGGGGGATTATGACTTTGGGCGATCAAGTCATTAATAAGAATACATGTTTTAGATATAAGTGATAGTGAAATTCAAGTTGTTTGGTTAAAGTGGAGGAATACATCAAACCTGTTGTGTGATAGAAAAGTACCACTCAAACTTTAAAAAAAAAATTTATAAAAGGTGGTGAGACCTGCAATGCTTTATGTCACATAATGTTGGCCATTAAAAGAGAAGTAAAAAATTAAGTTGGGTATTGTAGAGATCGATGAGGATGCTCAAGTGGCTGAGTGTCTTTACTCTTAGAGACAATGCTAAATGGAACAATACTTCAGGCCTATTGTGTGATTGATAGAAAAGTATTACAGAGATGAGGATGCTCATGTACGTGAATGAGTGTCTTTACTCTTAGAGACAATGCTAAATGATCATAATTTTCTACAAGCACCCTATCTTTTTACATCTATATATAATCAGTTTTAGATCTACTTAAGTGCGATAATCCATTACTTATTTGCTCTTATATGTAGGTTATGGATATTAGAAATCAAAGAAGTTGGATGTATAACCGATTATCTCAAGGTCGAAATACATTAACAGATGAATTCATTAATGGGGTGAACATTTCATTCAACAAGCGAAACAACTACCCAGCTTTATATCAGAAGGAAAGTTTCGATGTCCACGTTCTAAACACAAAAATCTAGTGCACCTAGAACCAGATGATGTAACTGTTGATCTGTATCGCAGAGGATTTATGCCACAGTATTGGTATTGGACTTCTCAGGTGAGTATGAGTCACAATTTGATTATCAATGCGGTCCTTCTACAAGTAGTAATATTGCTGAGGCTGAAAATATCTGACCAAATCTTGAGGAATTAGGTCATGATGCAACTGGAATAAAACTGAATAAAATACAGAAGAGTTACCAAATACGGAGGCACAAAATTTTTATGATTTATTGCATGCTGCCCAGTAACTAATCTGGAAAGGGTGCACGACTCACTCAGAATTATCTGTTGCTGAGAAGATGTTAAGCATCAAGGCTGAATATAATGTTGCTCGTGAATGTTTTAATCAATTCATTGGGCAGCTTAAGGAAACCAATCCGACAGATAATTTAATTCCTACAGATCTATATCGGACAAAGAAGTTAGTTTCCAAACTTGGTTTGACATGCCGTCATTGCAATGCACCAAGATTTAAACCAAAATCTGGAAATAGAAAGAAGCAGAAGGATGTGCCTGATAGTAGGATGTTCTACTTTCCAATAATTCCGAGACTACAACGGCTATATGCATCCATGAGATATGCTGCACATATGAGATAACATAATGATCACATTCCACAAGGTGTTATCACACATCCATCAGAAGCAGAGGCTTGGAGGCACTTTGATCATACACATCCCACATTCGCAGCAGAACCAAGAAATGTCAGATTAAGTTTATGCGCAGATGATTTTACTCCATTCAGTCAGTCGGCTACACCGTATTCATGTTGGCCTGTGATACTCACTCCTTACAATCTTCCTCCAGAGTTGTGTATGACTACTTATATGTTTCTAACACTTATAATTCCAGGGCCACATAATCTAAAAGTGAAGATTGACGTATTCTTACAACCTTTGATTGATGATTTAAGTTTATTATGGGAAGGAGTAAGTACATATGATATCTCCACCAAACAGAATTTTATACTAAGAGCAGCATTACTTTGGACAATTGATGACTTTCCTGCATATGGTATGCTCTCAAGTTGGAACATTTCAGGCAAGTTAGCTTGTCCATATGGTATGCTTTAAAGTATGGTAGGAAGAACACTTGGTTCGATTGTCATCGAATGTTTTTGCCTCCAAGTCATCCTTTCAGGCGAAATAAAGAAGCGTTTATTAAAAATAAAATGATGATGTTTCAGTCTCCTCCAAGATTCAGTTGTGAAGAAATTTTTGAAAGAGTAAGGTTCTTGCCCACCATAATGGATTCTCCAACATTAGCTGAGTACAGAATGCCAGAATATGGTGTCAACCATAATTGGACCAAGAAAAGTATTTTTTGGTCATTGGCATATTGGAGAACAAACTTGATTAGACATAATTTGGATGTTATACATATAAAGAAAAATATTTTTGATAATATTTTCTATACAGTTATGGACATCAAAAAGAAATCGAAGCGTGCGCCGGAAACCTTTCCGGCGCATTATAAACGTCGGAAGATATTTACTGACGCGAGCCAAACCGGCGCATGAAATTCCGCTGGAACGTGCGCCGGAAACCCATATTTCCGTCGGATTTTCCGTCGGATTTAACATCTTATCGGCGGATTTTATCCGCCGGTAATACCGGGTTTTCTTGTGCAGTAAAGAAGAAGCATTCCCTCTCCAATTCTCTAAATTTAACATGGTATCATAGCCTAAGGATACATAATCCGCTTTCCCTACTATCATACAAGTAGCCTTCATTGCTGGAATTCTGTGGCTATTGTTGCAGGCTGCCTTGTTTCTATCCCTATTCGATCCTTTTGCTTCCTTCGTGCGTCCAAGACCAAAAGAAAGCGAGAGACAGAGTTGTGCCTGACTCCCTGCATGGGATCGAGAGGCAGAAACGAACGAACCGGGGAGTTCATCTCTGCTTGTGTGCATCAAAAAATGAAAGGGAGACGGAGCTGGGGACTCTCGTGAGGGTCTAGGGTAGGATGAGCAAGAGTGTGAGACTTGCACTCCTTCCTGCGATTAGATAAGAGGGATCAAAGGACTTGCTTGTGCCTGTACTGGGTCGACTGAACAGAAGTCTGTTTAGGTATGGAAAAAATGACAAGTTGTTTAAGATCGTTTGTTTAGCTTATCAAACGAATATAAACGAGCTCTTATGGAGCTGAGCCACGAGCAGCTCGTCGAACGCTCAGTTCATTTGCAACCTTATGCTTGAGACGTGTTTTCTACTGCTATCTTTGAAGCTTGCCACAACCCAAAAGCCATTTTTTTCTACTGTCGTGTCTTCATTGTCTGCCTTTCCTTTAAGGGAACCTATAATGGCTGAATAGAAGGGTGTTTTCATATAAGTTTGATTTGTGCAGGAGTGATTGATTTTGAAGTAGAGTTATTTGGAATGTTAGAAAAAAAGAAAAATTTAGGGGAGAGAATTCATTTATAAACGATATTTCTTTCTCCAGATAGGTAATATCAAAGTAGAAACTTCATTGAAAGTGACATCAACAGACATGCTTTTCTCGCAAGGGGATGGCAATTTTTGTACAATTTTTTAGTAGAAGAGTTGCCAATAAGGAAAAAAAGAAAAAAATTAGTTGCTTTTTGATCAGGTTTTGCTTTGTTCTAAGGATGCCTATGGACAAAGACAATACTTTCAAGTATTTTAGGAACAACGTTGTTTTAGGAGTCAAGTGATTAAAGAACTAGAATAGGCCTTGTGTAAAACTCTTGAAACCCAAGGATCCTTGTAGATAACTGGTTTATAAAGCAACTTCTCCCAATATAATTTTGAAACATTTGTTTAAAAGGAGAGCAATCGCGGCTTCAAGTAGGTGGATGTTCTTTCATTTCTCACTCTCAAGTATTTTGCATTTATAAGTATTATAATGAAGGAAGTCTATGAGGTCAGGTGGAAGTTGTTAGGAGTTTTAGGTAAAAGAAAGGTACACTTCATAGTGAGAGGGATGATAATAATTTAGATACTATCCATGATACAATAACTCCTCCCTACACTATAGGAATTTTTAATTCATAAAATAGAGCAAGAATGCAAAAAAATAGAGCAATAAAATTGAAATGATCCTATAAGTACCTTAATCTTTATTGGAAGTCACAATGGTTTAAAGAGATTATGATGCTATCAAATATTTCTGTAATTTTATTTTTATTTGAACAGTAGTATGTTTTATGTTCTTTTCTTTTTTTAGCTATCTAATGATTGGAAAGCATCCAATGATCATCGTAGGTTGTGCATGGGGCTTGGTAGACTTTTGATTTGCTGGCTTGATTGGTCCATTTGCTGCTGCTGGTTCATGGGTTAATTGGAGATGGTTGAGGTTGAACTCCTCTTAAATGCTTGAGCTGAAGTAGCTCGTTAATTCTCTAAAGGTAACTCATTAAGATGGATTTACTTTTGGAGTGGTCTTGTCCCTTCTCCTTCCCCTTTCTTCTTGTCTCTTGGAATCCCGTGACTTGTTTTAAATGATGACATGTGGGGTTGCTGTTATTCGTGCCTTTGCCTCTTGGATTTACGGCCGGCTGCTGGTTTCCCGAGCCTGGGTTCTTTCCCGTGGCCTTTTGCGCCTGGTTCCGTGCGGTTCTTTGGATCCCGTGGCCTCTCCTTCGGTTCCTGGGCTTGGGCTGTTCCCCGTGAATGAATGGGGGGGTTTCCATGATAGTGATGCTTGGAATTCTGTGAAAATTCATAAAGAAATACTATTGGCATTCCCCTATCTTGCCTATAAATATAAGAAGTTGTTGTGAAGGAAGGGAGTTGATGATTGTGAGCAAAATTGCTATTGACCTGCGGGTTATTGGAAAAGCTTGCAAGCTTTGTCCACCTTTCTCATCTCCTCCGGAAATCTTGCGAGCTCTTTCCAACCTTTTGTCTCGGCATCTAACCTCTTTCGTCTCTCCGCAAGTACCACTCCATCTGTATTCTTCTTCTCAAAAGAGAAGAAACTTTAGGGTGTCGTATCTTGGTTGATTTGGAGCATTTGTTGGAGAAATTGGACAATCTTGCAGGGGAAATTGGACAATCTTGCAGTGGTGGACCATCGGTTTGCTAGTTCTATGCACTTATCTTATTTAACCTACATTTCGATGCATGGAGAAACCCACTATGACGGTTGTCTGAGAATAGCGTTGTTTTTTACTTTCTTTGTGTCTTTAAAAATTCTTAGTATTTTCTTGTTGGATTTTGAATGTTTTAGTTGATTATTACTTTTTAATATAATTTGGTTTCATTTCTATCCATTTTTCTCTTTGTGTCGGTTTTCTTGCTTGTGTCTACATCAGATTATGACATAAATTCATCATTGAATGCAAGAACAATGTTATGATACCAATTTATGTAAAGTGAGACAACAAAAGTGAACTTTGTGATAGACTTTTGATGTCTTGATTTATTGTGAATGAAAGAGCAAAGTACAGAGAAGAAGAGATTAGAGCAGAGATGAATGAAAGCTTTAAAGAGCAAAGCTAAGAGGTAGAGAAAAATAGGAAGAAGAGCCTCACGGCTAGAAACAATAGAGGAATTATTCCCCAAAAGCAGATTTCAGAAGATATATTTTTTTAATTTCATACATTAAATAATACTAAAAACACAATATCTTGACTAAGCCTACGGTAGACAACTTATATCGCATCACCTGGGAATAACACATAATAATGAGCCATTTATAGTAATCAAATTGAATAATTTAAAGTTACAGTTAACTGTGGCAGCTGTTGAGGACAGTAAAAGAGAAGCACATCCTTGCAACAAGTCGAATCTGGCAGTTTAAGAAAAACAATATATTCAAAAATCAAGCAAGGACATCAATTTATCTCATTTATTGGGATAAGTAAGCTTACATCTTTATTTCCACCAGCCTCCATCAACTTAAATGAACAAGATAAACCATTGCAGTCAACTTCTGATTTGTACGACTTGACTTGTTCTCCTCTGTAAATCCTCTGAATTACTTCAGGGTTTACCTGAAAATTTCTAAGGAAGATATCAGTATCTCCTATAGAGGCTTCTACTGTTTTTCCATGTGGAGGAATACGTATTCTAAGACCTTCAGTCGATACATCTTCCTTTAACCATTGAAATGTTCCAAGACCGTGGGCTGCAGGAGCAGTCTGCTTTACTTTTCGCATTTCAGATATTGATTTGTTGAGTTGGTCAAGATAGTGAGCAAATTTTACATATGTCGACAAGCCCAGACTACTTTCAAATGCACTACTTACAATAGTCATCTTCTCATGCATCTGGGCCCATTTTGCAATGAGTAAGGCATTTTCAAATCCTCCAACCATACTTGGTTTGATAACCTGTACGTATCAGAACAGGAAAAACATATCAACTACTAAAGCCAGTGCTGTTAAATGTGGATTCTAATCCCCAGAAGTCTGTTTTTTTTACTTACGACAGCAACTATGCCAGGATGGACAAACTTCTCAAGCTTTTGAAGAGCTTCTCCACTGATATTGTCAATTGTCTCATCTAGTGCCACAGGCAAGCCAGTTTCTTCACAAAATTTGATAATATCATCTTCAAAACATACAGGTTCCTGGAAAATTAGAAAAGGTACAAGCTAAGGAGCCAGACAATTTTATTCAACATAAACTTTAACATTGGATACATAACTGAATAAAACAAAACATCAGATATAACACAACAAGATAACTTGATAAACCAAAATATTTGATATAGCATAACAAGTTACTATATTAAAGACATCTCATTCATCATTATTAGCATCTATTGTTTCATTAGGTTCCTGCTAAGTCAAAGCATAAACTCGCAATCAAACATTCTGCCTGGGTTGATTTTGTGTTGGAGCTAAAACTAATGGATCCATCATCTTATTTGCCAAAACTCTTATGTGAAACTGCTTCACCTAATCTCATCTCTCCTGAAGTCTTTTAAACCAATGTAGGACAATGTTTTGCTATGTGTTCAGGCTAATGACACTAGTAGCAAGTGTTAGAACCCATCAAACATTCACCCTTATGAAATCATCCACACTTAACACAAGCTTCCATGGCTCTACTAGCAACACTACTACTAACTTCATTAGAGCTAAACTTAGGCTTCTTCCCATTTGATCCTTCAATCTGATTGTTTTGGATATCTTCTACAATCTTCCTTTAATGTTGGTACCTTATCTTCTTAGTTATTTGAAAGTTAATTTATACCCTTCTAGCTCTCTCTACTAACACTAAATAATTCTTGATTCCTAAAGGTATTAAAGATTGTCTAATTGCATCTTTTAGATCAGATATGAATCAATAACATTTCTCATATGTTGTTGAAATCAGTTGTGGTGCATATCTTGATAGAGTTGTAAATTCTACTTTATATTGCATCACTGATTTTCTACTTGAACCAGTCTTATGAATTTATGCATCTGCCTCAGTGTTGACATAGGTATGAACCATTCTCTGAAAAGTTTTACAAAGTCTTCCTAGTTGACCAATAAATTAGGAATATCTCCTAGCCTGTCTTCCAGTTGTCCTCTCCACCACCTTTCTACTTCTCCATCTAAAACAAATATAGCGAGTGACACTTTCCTTCATCAGAACATGACATGCTATCTAGAATCTTTTTTATACAAAGAAACCAATTTTCATCCTCAATCGATCCCTCATTACCCTCGAATAATGGTGGTCAAATGTCCTGGAACAACTTCAGGTATTTATCCACTCCAACTTCAGGTTGCAATCTTGATTCCTGAAGCATTTGGGTCATAATCGTCATCATCTGGGTGAAGATGTTGGTGTTCACAGTTATGTTAGGTGGTAGTTCTTCAACTTCCATATTTATATCAGTTGAATCCTCTTGATCATTAGCATACCTAATATATTTATAAATTAAATAATTATATTATCTAATCGAATCTTTAAATTCTTAACAAATAAGTTCATAAATCATTCATATGGCTTTTTCATTATGATTCACATTCCTAAGATACTCCTCGAACTCTGATATCACTTTTGTCACGACCCAGCCCGAAAGCTCGAATTAACAATGCGGGAATAGATGGTCAGACAGTTGATTAAATTTTTTACTAGTTAAATTTCTCTCTCATAAACTAAAACAGCCACTAAAACATCAAAACAAATTTGAAATAAAATTATATAAATACCTTCCATTTCGAGCGTCTCAACTACCATACACATTTTCACCTCTTCTACTCATTTATGCTTTGAAAATACCTATTCTTTTATAAATTTAAGAGTGAGTCATAAAATAACTCAATGAGTAAATCATGCTTCTAAACTACAATAACCAAAGACATTTGAAACAATATGCATGATCATTATAATACATAAAATAATTCTATTTAGATTCATTTCATTTCAAGACTTCAATATTATATATAGATCATATCTTTATCCATATCTTTATTCTTTCTCGTAAATAATACCACAGGAGCCACCATCTAAAATAGTACTAATGATAGTACTCATTTTCCATTTCTTCTCTTTCATGCAATGGATATTACAATGAGTCATTTTCGAAGTAATTTCGACATTTTTGACACGTTGGTGAAGTCGGTTTCGTGAATGGTTGACGTTTGAGCAAATTCTAATGCAGTTGAACTGTTGAAGTGTTTCAAGCCATGTTTGAATGATGTTGCATCCGTTGGCCATCATACTCGCCGTGTTTGATTTGGTTTCGAGAGGTGCTTTCTTTGATGATTTCAACACTCTGAATGCGTCGAAGCAACCCATCTCCCGAACAAGTAATATTTGAGCGACTTCGATTGCGGTCAAAATTTTTCAGAATCAATTACATAACATCATATTAGTAGGCCGTCATTCTCATTATATTCGCTCGAATTGGTCACGAGGTGTGCTTTCTTTAGTAAATTTGATGATTTGGATGCATTTGTACAATTTGTTTCATGAACGGGTAACTTCGTTGTTATTGGGGCTTTCGAATTTGGATGCGACGTTGTGTTAGTTTGCCGTCGTTCTCTTCGTGGACAATCAAATTGGCCGCATGTACGCATAAAGGTCAACAAAGATGAAAAGAAACACACAAAGTAACGAAGCATGTGTTTGAGAGTTTGTACAATTGTATGCCTGCGTGTGTGAGATCTATTAAATAACTTTGCAGTATGGAATCAACAACATATATGAGTCTACCGCCTACCCCATGAAACCCTTCTCTGAATTTGGGATTACATAATAAAGAATATAACAACATCATTTGCCACCCATCCGCTCTCTCAGTAAGTGAGAAAATATGTTGGTAAGTTTGAGTTATATATAAAACCTAACATCCTTAAAAGGATAGTTCATACTTGCAACTGGAAAAATCATAAACAAATGAAGTTGTATTCTAGGCAGATACTTGAGCATGCCGAGCCATCTTCTCTACCAATCAAACATTATTAACTGACTGCCAATATAATTCTATCAGTAAAAAGAACATATATAAATTAGAATAAACAATCTAAAAACAAATTTTGCTAGAATTGTAGCATATTTGAGGGAGACCGCAACCAAAAATGAAGTGTAATGACTCTCAATCCACAAAAAGCTTTATTGACCTCTAATGAATCTTTAAAAGGATATTTAAGAAAACAAAATGCTCTAATGAAAATTAAATAAAATAAAACTTATAGCAACAATAACTATTATAGTTGTCATATCAATATAATAAAGAAAGTTACTTTCACTTGATATGGGAAAAAAATATATATTTTATGCACATATGCATATGTCATGGTCATATTATATGGAATCTACTAAGAACTCGCAGTAATACTAATGCGCTGAACAGATAAAATCACAAGTCTACCTCAATGTATTCTAATGCAAAGCTTTTAACAGAAGACCCAAAATGAAATGCCTTGTCATAGCTCCATTTGCGGTTTGCATCCACACGAATATTAATTTTATAGCCAATAACTGCTCTGATTTCACTGATAACAGCAGCATCTTCAGTAGGGTCTTCTCGTCGTGCAACCTTTACTTCAAGGAAATATGGTTTTCATTCATGAGAACTTGAGCAATTATTAAGAAAGCTTAAATACTGATTGAACTTTTCACTGCAATAATTCATAAAAAAGGTGTTTCTGAAGAGTTAAGTGTTTCACAAATATATAAGCAATGGAATTATGTAATAAGTTCTTGGTTTTTACCTTGATCTTTACCGTAGTAAAACCGTCATGAAACAGCTGAGAAACAACATGAGCTACCACATTGGGAGTTCCATCACAATCCACAAGTGCACAGATTGGTATTCCCTCTTCTTTGCATATGTTTTTATCAGCTACTTTTTGTGTACCTAACAAGAAGCTCTCATATCCAATGAAGCCTGACAAGCTAGAACCCTGCCTTTTTGCTAATGCATTAAGTATAGCCATTTCCATGCCACATCTTACACTTGGAAAGACAGAGGAGGGCTGAAAATTAGGATGCGATGCTTAGTTGTTGAGAAATAATTTTATAGTGTTGTCGATTAAAAAAAAAGGTTTTAAACAAGAATCATAATACACCTACTGGAATACCCAAGATTTTCCATATCCAACGAGAAAAAGAGCCCCTAAGCAACGGAAGAAGACAACTTAGTTCAGCTCCTTCCATTACATGAACAAGAAATCTCAGCTGTTCTTCAACGTCCAACAAATTCTCTTTGTGAATTTCTATTGGAGCTATCTGTTTGATATGGAAAGAAGAAAGTACTTTAAAAATACATTGATTAAAGCAGATGAAGGAAGAACTTATCAATCATACTATTTTACATATAGTTAAGTGAAGAACAAGTCTAAAATAAGGTCTATTCAGCTACAGCATAAGCTGTAAACATAAATATAGACGAATACAGTTTACTTACCGTATCAATTCCAAGATCAAAGAATGAACTTCATTCATCTAAATGTGTCAAACTATGCCCAACAGGTGATCAAAAAATCGTACTAAAAAACAATATTAAAATCTCAATGGCCTAAATAGCATATTTCCCAAGTATGTAAGTACAACTGAAATGAAAAGGGAACATAATGCCCCAAATATTGGAAAAATAGGGCACAAAAAATTCAACGAGTGAAGCGTGAACTCTGTAAAAGCAGTGCATGACATGTAGGATACATTAAAATTGCTACAAATGAACATAAAACTTATCCAGTATGCATGTATAATTAAAATATAAATAAGAATGTCCACATATACAAATATTTGTCTGATTTGCCCCAGTAAAGAGAGAGATATCCTCTTCATGTAAGAACATAAGCATCACCTAATTTAAGTACAAAGTAGAAGTTTAAAAAAAATAAAAACTTTTTCAAGGTTAATATTTAAGAGAGACAAAAGCACCAAAATAGTTTTCTAAATATTTGTTGAGGCCGCTCTAGTCCCAGACTATATAGACGACCCGATTTAATCTTTGGACTACTTAATTAGATGCCAAAATGATCATACAGTCACCAGTACTGAAGAAAGTAAAGTTAACGTATGGGATTAAAAATGAGGGCATTTTAGAAATATACATCTTGAAATTTTTACAAAGTCTAATTTCCTACTTACCTTGTTTCCTTGTGTACAAAATTAAATTTTGCTTAAATTAGAAATGAATTGAGATCATGCAAGTTGTGGAGCAAGATGATTGTTTGTGTTAAATCTCAACCTTACGATCCCAAAGATATCCATGGCTGTGAACAGTAATCTTTGCCCTTTTTTACCATATTTTAATAATTTTATAGATTATGTAATGGATTAAAATTTAATACAATAAATTTTATTTTATATTAAAATATGACAAGAAGGGCAATGTTAGATTTTGCTTTAAAAATATAAATATTTTTTTTTCTATTTATTCACCCTTATTACATACTAGATTAACTATATACTATAATTTATTAAATGATAAAATAAAATAACATAAACAATGTAATCTCATATTAACTTGTAATACCTAAAATACCATTTATATTTAAATTTAAAGTTAACTTTTAACTCTTATTTTAGACTTTGGGACTAAATTGACTCAATCTCTAATAGTCGATGGACTAAAATGGGGCAATGTGAAACTCTAAGACTAAATTTGACATTTATCAATAGTCGGGGAACTATTTTGAACTTTACTCAAAAAAATTAAACTTAATGTACTTTATGACAATAAAATCAAGATAAAAAATGTCTAACAAAATTATTTATTACAAAAAAAAAAACATCTCGCTCCACAATCCACATAATCTTAATCCACTCACATATGGGAAATCATGTGCTATACATGGGGAAACATTTAATTAGAAAATAAAATTTTGTAAGAATTTCAAGATAAATATTTCTAAAATATCCTTATTTTTAACACTATCCATTAATGTTATCTTCATTTTTCATCAATTTCCATTGCAAGAATATTTTGTCTCTTAATTAATTTGCTTGAATTCTATTAAAATATTGGACAAAAAAAGATACTATATAGACGAGGGAATAAAAAATGCGAGAACGTTATCCATGTTTCTTCAATTAATGTATTTTGTTATTATTGTTATTCATTAAAATTTTGAAGATGAAACCTTTGTAAAGAGATATTGTAATACCTGATTATAAAAAATGATTAAATTGAACCGACAATGTTGGATCAATGTAACCGATGTTGTGGTCCAATGAAATACATATATAAGGATGGGGCAATGTAGTTTCCTGAGATATAAAGATAGAGGCAATTGTGGGTGCTTGAGCGGGCGAAGAGAACAAAGCATGCTACACAGAGACTAAAAGAAAAAAAGAGAGACGTGAGAAGAAGACAAAGAGGGAGAGGTTAGTGAGAGAGAGAGAGAAGGAAAGGGATTGAGAGGGAGAGAAGAGCGAGCGGTAGAAAGGAGGAAGAAAGAGATAAGCGCACACTACCACATGCAAAGATGAATAGTTAGGGTTTTGCATAAGATTCGGCCGAGCAAGATTAGGTGATGACTTAGGCATCAATTGCAAATAAAGAAATTGAGTTATGGTATTAGTGATATATTTATTTTGTTTTTTTTTTTCTTCTCTTAATAAGAAATTAGATAAGATCAATTTAGAATATTTCTTATTTCCTATTTATAAATCTAGTTTAACGTTCGAATCATAGAGAACTTTGATAAGATTAAGATAAAAAATGAGATTGGAGATGGTATAGAAAAAAGAAAGATATTTGAGGTATGATGAATTTGGAAAATCTTAAAAATTTAATTAATAAAATTAGACAGTTATGATATTATTATGTGATATATGTTGAACTTTGTAAAGATAACTTTGAAATGTGAATTTCCCTTAAGTTATGAAATTAATGTAGAAATAATAAAATTGTAAGCTAGCATTTTGAATTGAATTAAAAGATGATAATTTAATTATGACGATAAATTTGTGAATTAAATCTAATATTATGACATAGGTATAATTCACATTAAGAAATTAGAAATTTTTTATAATGTTAGACTAAAACATTAAAATAGAAATAATAAATAATTATTTAAATAAAAGTAGAGATTAGGTAAAGAAGACTTATGTATTTGAATGGAAGAAAAACATCATTAAATAATGAGATCAAATTTTATAAAAGAAAAATAAGTCAAGTTAAATGAAAGTAAATAACAGAAGTATATTATTTTGGGCTCTTAAAATTTTGAGCCCCCGGCCTCTCCGTGTTTGAGAGAGTTTTAACGAATTAAGTTCCCAATTCAAATTTTTGAAAGAAGATGATATTGAAGGCAAACACTACCCAGAGATTGTACCCTCATTTGCAAAACTTTTAAGATGTAACTTCAAGTTTCCTATAAGAGCAAGACTCTATAGTAAATTACCTCTTATGATAATGACAAAGCATTTTCAATAAATGCTAGTTGTTAGATAGACACTAAATACCATATATGTCAATGCACGCACATGATGCAAATAGCGCACGCCATTTTGAACATTTGTGCCTCGCCATACAAATGGCACCGTAGGTGCGCCGCGCAATGGAGCGCGCCATTGACATCTATGGTGGGAATAGATTATAATTCCATCTAATGCTGATAGCAATTCCATTAATGATGATATAATGACTATTGAAGATATAGTCCAAAATTATCTTACTTAACAGTAATAAGAATCCACAAGCTTTGCATTGTTTTGGTTTATTCACTAAAAGAAAATGCCTCCTCTTAGCCATACAGACATATAAAAAAGAAAAAAAAAAAAAGAACTTAGTGTGCATGAACAAGCTCAAGCAATTAACAAAAAAAAAAAGCTCATGCAAAAGCTGGAGGGGTGAGTATGCAGAGGGAGGTGGAAAGAAAAAAGAACAAACCTCGCCATATCCTACAATGTTGTCATCCAATGATATTGCAAGAACAAAGCCTTCATGATAGAAATCTTTTCTATAATGTTTCATCTGAGTTGAAGTTGGAGCACAAAGTTGGATTCTAGAATCACAAGAAAGTATATAAGAAAATAATTTGGACCAAATTAAAAGTTTTCTTACCAGATTTTTGCATGAATTATACCACACTTTATTAAAAAAAAAAAAACAATGAACTTGCCTATATAGTGAGTACTCCACATTACAGATCTTACAAATAGACAGGCTATCAGTGACAATTTCAGTCATTGGAGTCACAGAAAGGGCTCTAAATGCTTGATCAGCAGCTTGACCAGAAGACTTCCTTACGATGCTGCAAAAATGGCATAAGTTGTTTCATAGAAAAATGTGTGGAAGAGGTCTAAGTGGAGAATAATTAATCTAAACCTGTGAAACTTAGCATTATCTGTAATGCAACTCTCAACTTCTATTACAAAATCACCATAATCTTGCTGTGATTCGTGCAAAGCATGCTGCAGTTCCATTTTTGTCTGCACCAGTAAATGCTTCACTCTGCAAATTCATTTTCAGCTCTTTATAAATCCAGGAAATTTCCTTGAGCTTAAAAAACCATGTTTAGAACATCCCTCTTAAAAGCACAAAGTTTGCAACAACGCTAAAAATTCAGCATCTTAGGAAACCTTGCCTACCTGAACCCACATCATAAAAGCTATGCAGATTAAGGTTAAAGCATTTCAGGTACTTACTCTAGTATTCATGCTAATTGTAAAGGAAAATCATGTCAAACAAACATTCCATACGAATCCATCTTGTAAACTTAAAATTTAACTCACGAGGAAATAGGTAGCTGCAAAACTTGCACCACATAATTGCAAATATGCAAACCATATTATAGTTGATTTTTGGGAGGGATTCTAACCAATTCATTGACCGCATAAAAAATTTAAAATAAAAATCTTAAATTGTTTTTCATAATTGAAAATGAAGACCATTTATTTGCTAATTAAAATATGTCTAGGATAATTATTAAAGGAAAATACAGTCTAGATAAAATAATGGAAAATGAACTAGATTGCTTCTAAGATCAACTTGAAGGGCTTTCAAGGGAGATTAAATTGAATTTAGGCAATTAAAAGCATTTGGATTAGCAACAGAGAACCTTGAGCAATAATCACATTGCTAAAAACAAATAGAAAAAGAAAAATTGAACAAAAAGGAACAACAAAATTACATTATTAATTTTCCATACCTGTGAGCACTGCATAGCTTTCCAATTGATATATTATGTGATGTGTAAAAGTATTGGTTTAACACGCTTTCCTGTGTCCTACTAGCGATAGGCAGAAGACTGAAGATTGCTCCACCATGATTGTTTATGACAATTATCGTCATTGGTTTTCTCCTTGTCCTACAAAGAAAAAAAAAATGGTTAACATAAGTAACAAGATAAACTTAATAGTGGTGAAGAAGCTACGTACTTGTGATCATTTTAACATGAAGGGATATACTTGAGAAAATGCAAAATAAGGCCTTGAGCATGCAAGGACGGGTTAGTATTCACTGTATGAATTCTGACATTGATGTTTGAGAATTATGATCATATAACCCATCTTCTAAGAGTTGATAACAATTTTCCCTATAATTATTTATTATTTTTTTAATAAGTGGGGACACATGAATATCATAGAAAGCTTCAAAGACCTAAGGTTTCTATTCCTCATAGCCGCTCTTTGGTTGAATTGGAATGAAGGAAACAATAGAACTTTTAATCAACTAATAACAAGGAAAAACCCAGGATAGTCTACCATGATCATAAGAATCAATAGTTTCATTAAATAGATCAGCACGATTTAATGCAACAGAGGTACAAAAAATTGAAAATTTATAGGATTAACTTGGCATTTATAGGAGCATTTCTCTCTATGCGAGTAGATTAGTTTTTTTTATTTGTTGTTGAAATTACAATTCCTAATTTTTAGAATTGTTGAGTCAATTTGACATGGCATTTATAGAAGCATGTATCCTTATTGGACAGATGAAATTGTGATTTACCTAAAATAATAATTAATAGTATAATTCTTATTATGCAGTAATTGCACACTAGAGTTTTCAAATAAAAGCAATATTACTGTGGAACTTAATAGGATCCTTATCATTGATGGGGCTTGTAGAACTGATTTGCAGCTTTATACAATTTATTTCTACAAGAAAATTATTGAAAATTTCCACTTGCTGATGACGTTATAAATTTTGCAAATAATCCTAGATAATTGGGATAATGCTAATGATGATGTTATGCCAGTATAAAAACTGGCCAATTATTTTGGTTAGTCCAGCTTTCTGATAACAAAAGAAACCCAAAATAAATAGCTGGTAACATAGGTTAGGTTTCTAGGTTTGGTCATTAATACAATCAACATACTAAAATTCACATCCTCATTTTTCCAATTCTCTGCTTGTAAAGAAGTAATCACAAGAACGAGGGTCCCTATAGTGAAAATAATACAAAATTGCTTCACTAATGTGATCGTTCAAACAAGATGCCACATTCACGAATGGTAAGTCTCACCCATCATTCACTCTTGCTTTTCTTGGAAACAGCCATCAAAATTGTTGCCTTATAGCTGGCCATATCCACTAAGTAGGCCTTTTTCACTCCTGATGTTGCCATACCAAGAGGCAAAATATGTTCCTAAACACACCAAAGAACTACAGACTGGGCTTTGTTTGATCATATATTAACTATTATAGACTAAGGCTTCGTCTGGGATGGCTTACTTACTGTTGAAAGGAGCTTTCTAGTGCAAAAATTAAAATGAAACCTAAGATTTTGTTGGGATGTGAAGCATTATGTAAGAAATTGTTAAAATGGCAAACAACATTTACATTTTTCAAAATGGAGAAAACAACATTTTGTCAACGTTACTTACGCTGATGACACATGAAGCTCCACCAACTCAATTTACAAAATTAACCTCATCGATCATCAACATCAAGTGTTCTCCCTATAGACCTTGAAACCTCCGGTTTTTTTTTTTCCTTGAAACCTCTGGTTGACCTATTTATTATCAAATCAAATACTTACATGGCTAGATCCTCATAAATGTTAAAATCGACTAGTGCAACATAGCACAAGGGGTCATGGAACACTTTTTTATGCAAAATATTACAACTATGAATAATTAATTAATAATACAATAATACAAAAGAAAAAATATCTAATGCAAAAAGGCATGAACATATTACAAATGGAACAAAACATTGCTTCAACATACATAAAGGTTAATGAAAGACAGAATATTTCCATGGAACTCGCTAAGAAGTTTGGCCTAAATTAAATGTTTTTTTATTTTTTCTAGCTAATGAATGTGGCAATATGGTTTATAAAGTTTGGCGTAAGATTATAGTTATGCAAATTGCATAACATAAACAACAATAATTAAATAAACAGAAAGAAACAATATGATAAAACAATATTGCTAGCAATAAACCAAATTAGATTAAGCTGTATTAAATATCAAACAAAAAATTAATGTTGAAGTACCATCAAGGAAGAAAATGCATGGAAATAGTAAGGAGAGAATACACTAGTGTTGTTGAGAGTAGTGTGTAGCGCACTTTTATTTTCTGCACCTCGCTATGTAAATAACACAAGTGTGCCATGTACTATTGCCGTGTATACTCTCATGTATTTATCTTCTTTTAAAAGTATATATGTATGGCTTTAACTTAAGTTAAAAAATAAACACATGTCAACAAACGGATAAGCAAATGCTAACTTGATCAATCTATTTAGAAAAAAATTAAATTTTATGTGCCAAATGCTTCCATTTTCACTCAAAAAGGCCAGGTATTCAAATACCTAGTTGAAGAAGTGATCTTTAAAGTTAGTATGAAGAAATAGTAGAGATACAACAAATCCTTAAAGTTTACATTAAAAAGATGGCACTGCACACCTATTGCTACGAATTGCAATAGGTTCATTAAAGTTTATATATGAAGAGAGAGTAGAGATGCAACAAAAGGGTCTTAAAAGTTTAAACTAAAAAGACGAAATTGCACACCTATTGCTAAGAATTGCCAAGCTATTGGTATCATGAAGAAATGATACATCACCAATCACACATACAACCTGAACAAATCAAAAATATTGTAGCTATAGTTAATATAAGAAAATAAAATGCTCATAACCATAAGCGTATCAGTGGCACATAAACTAGGCATTCAAAGCTGATGTCTTAGAAATAAAAGTATCTAATAAAATGGACATTGTGCTAATCAGATATGGGGCTGGTCAGAAACAAAAATGATGGCATTAATGAGTTTTTAAACCATGCTTAGGTCTTTATAATTTCAAAAATATTAAACTGAGAAAACTTTCACTTGACTGGAAAGAGATAGCTAATCACCAACATAAGTAGAACATCATTAGCATCCTTATCCCAACTATAAGTTAGATTTCTTAACTCTCATTTTCCATTCATTCTTGTTGAGTATTGTTCAATGTGTTCAACCAATTCTATGAAATATTTTTGAACTTCTATGCATATTACCTTTCGTCTGTGCATTTCTTTGCTAATTCTTCGACATCAATTCTATCCACCCATTTTATTGTTAATTTCTACCATTTATTGTACATGTGCAAAACACATAACTCTATTTTTCAATATCTTATCTTTAATAGATATTATTCTCCCCATCCATTAAATTTTATCATTTCTAATTTTTTTTATGCATCAATCTTAACATTTTTATTTCTAGCATATTCAATTTAGCAATATGAGACTTTTTTACTACCAATACTTTGATAATACAACATAACCAACCTAAGTGCAATTCCAAAAAAATTGCCATTTAATTTTCATGATATTCCTCACATATAGTACTCTAAATGCACTTCTCAAGATTAATACTACAAGAGAAAAAATTAAATATAAAATTTTGAATTTTATCAAATATCTGATACACTTATTAAAGATTGTCTAATGATGCTATTATTTGTGTATTATTTTCCTTCTAAATAGATATATTAATTTTACTCTACTATATTATTAGTACATCTTCTAGCCTTTATTATACTGCCTGACATTATCTAAAATAAGTGCTACTCCATTCTGCCCTCTGATAAAAATATTTCTCAATCTATTCTTCCTTATTTTACAACATATGAATCTGAGCATTCTCGTTTTGACTCACTCAATTAGACTTTTTTATCATTTTATTTATATATAATAACAGGTCAAATGGAAACTTTATGCCTCCTAAGTTCAAGTGATATTTGCTTATTGCATGCTGAAAAAAATATAATTTTGATGAGAAGATTTTTCTCTATCATTTACACTTAATAGGCTACGATAGCCTGTGTAAGGGGAGGCATTAGAGAAAATAAAAACGATTCCGATTCTGCAATCTAAAAATTATAGTAGGCAAACTTTATCGAGGGACCATTGAAAACTAGAATGTTGACCAAACTTTATCAAAGACTAAAATAACAAATGAGCTATGTGACAATGAAATGATTTATATGCCAAAAGCCTATATAAATATTACATGATATTTCTAAGATGATAAATATAAATTGATAATAAAATGAAAGTAAAGTTAATAAATTTATACCACCAATTGACTATATAATGTATTAAATAATTTGACACTTTACAGATATACTTCAATATTTTACAATTATTCATGTTCATTGGTTATAATCAAGTCTTTTATCTTATCAGATCATTAATGCAAGTTTTGGCTTAAAGGTGTTGCACTAAGCTGATTATCTTTATGATGATAAATGCTCATATTAGTACATATAATGGGGGCCATGATCAAGTAATTAGTTTGCCCAATTGTATCATAGATGCAAATGATATAAATTAAAAACTTTCGTACATATGAAATTATATATAAAGTTTATTTATAACATCTATATTCAATTTGCTTTGTATCTATCAACTTCATCTTTGACTTCACTTTTTATTATAAAAGCCCACTTGCTTCCAATCACTTTTTTTATTTTCCCAACAATTATGATATCCTAGGAGCAATTTTTTTTAGCAGCTCTCATTTCTTCAATGATGGCCATTTTACATTCTAGTTCTTGAAGAGCTTTATACACATTTATAGGTATTGCAATGTCACCAATATTAGCAATAAAGGCCTTAAACAATGGAGATAGTTTAGGGTATACCAAATAATTTGAGATAGTGCATTGAGTACAATTTCTTACTCTTTTCCTGAATGCAAATAGTTAGATCAAGACTATCTCTTGTAGCTCATTCATTTAGATTGTCCACCGATGTTGATGATTGGCACTGTTATTGGTATATAAGTCTCCTTGAATACAAAACGATGAGTTTCTCGTAATGGCTTCATCCTCCAGCTAGTTACTTCATAGGTTTGGTGGAAAATTTAAGGATTTATTTGATGAGTCAAAGAAAGAATAATGAAATATTTTCAGAGATAGAAAGGGAGATAATGGAGTCCTATTGATTTTCTTCACTATTCCTTGTTATGAGAAGAAAGGACATTCATCCAAGAATATGACATCGAAAGAAACAAAAAAAAAAATTGAAGGGTTGAAGAGAACCAATAAAATAAATATTGGCAGCCATTCGATCAACCTGATTTTGATTTGGTTAGAGATCATGTACAAAAGTAGTGCATCTAAAAACCCTTGGAGGTTAAGGAATTCAAAATCCTTAAGTGAGGATGCTGATCATGAAGGACACTTATGGGACTTCAAAAATAAAATATCATGGAAGATGATGATTGAAAAGATAGATATACCTGAAAATGGCTTCCCCCTAAAAGAAGTTTGAGACAGAGTTTGTGAAAGTGATGGTTTGTGCCATTTCCAAAAAATGATGATTTTTTCTTTCAGCCATCCCATTTTATTGAGAAGAATAGACACAAGAACTTTGATGATGATTCCTATTTTCATTCAAATATAGAATAAACTTGTGGCAGACTAATTCTATCCTGTTGTCACCATGAATGATTTGGATAGAGTTTAGAAATATAATTTTTATAATTTTGTTAAACTGTTTGAACAAGGAAAATGCTTCAGATTTCTCTCAGAAGATAAAAGCAATGTATCTGTGTACATCATCAAAAGAGATAAATCCCATTATCATTTCCAACGAATTCTTGTTAAACTAGTAGTTATAACAGGTCAAAATTTATAACAGGTTTCTATGGCTCTGTGGAAAGGTTACTCGGGTCAATTTAGCAAGCACACACTTCTATACAACAACAACATTAAGCCTTTATCCCACTACGTGGGGTCGGCTACATGAATCCTTTTTCTTCATCGTGTCCTATTAAAAGTCAAATTCTCATTTAAATCTAATAAAGAAAGGTCACTCCTAATATTTTCTAACCAAGCCTTTTTAGGTCTACCTCTACCTTTCTTAACATAAGTCAAATCTAATACCTCTACTCTCCTAACCGGGTCATCAGAAGGCCGCCGTTTTATGTGATCAAACCATCTAAGGCGACTCTCTCTAATCTTATCTTCTACTGGAGCTACTCCAATCTTTTCACGTATATGCTCATTTCGTATCCTATCTCTAAGGGTAAAGCCATTCATCCACCTGAGCATCCTCATCTCTGCACATTAACTTGTATTATGCTTCTCTTTTAATGGCCAACATTTGGCACCATAAAGGCATGACATGGCCCTCAATCTACATCTTATATAATTTTTCCTTAAGTTTGAAGGGGTATAATTTCTAAAATACAAGCCCGTGCTTCCGTCCACTTCAACTCCAACTTTGAATTCTGCCTGATAATGATTCCCATCTATTTCACCAATCACTCCTGAACAATAGATCCAAGATGATCGATACCGTGTACTCTATTAACTGACTTGATTGCTCAAAGTCACATCCCGCTCACTAGGTCTAATAACACAAAAATTAACAAGCTCCATAATTCATTTTAGATATCTAGCGAAAAGCTTAGACTCTAATGTTGAACTCCAATAATTCAAGTTTACCTTCAACTCCCTCTCTATTCTATCAACAAAGAAAATATCATCAGCAAAAGAATACATCAAGGTCATATCTCTTGAAAATGTCTAGTGAGAAACATCCATGATTAAGCAAAAGATCAATGGGCTTAAGGCTGGATCCTTGATGTAGACCCTAACCGAAATAGGGAATACATGGTCATCCATTTGTGTTTGAACACAAAGTAATCGCTTCTCTGCATACATATCGTTTAATGATTGAATATAAGCCATTATTGTCTCTTTCTTTTCAAGACTACTTTCATTAGCAGTTCTCTTTCGGAACTTTATCTATGCTTTTTCTAAATCAATAAATATCATTGTAGATCCTCCTATCTTTATCTCTAATTTTCTCCAACAAACCTATTAATAATGTTTCGGCTTCCATAGTCGACTACCCGCATGATCCAAAATTGATTTTGCAGATAAATCATTAGTACACGCCCGCAACACTATGCTCCATAACTCGCATCCCATAGTTAAAGTTATGACACATAACTTAAAACCTTATAATTCGCCAAATCTGTGCATCATTTTATTCTTAAAATATAGTAATAAAACACACGTCTTCTCCATCATCTGAACTTCTTTAGCAAGGTTTTAAGAAGGCGAATCGGGAGAATGAGGCGTTTTTTTCTTAAGGCGAGCGAGGCGTAGCCTCGAGGCGGATCGAGGGCGTAACGCCTCAAAACATGACTTAATAAATTAATTTAAAATTTTAAAATAATGACAAAAATAACAAAAATAACATTTTTGTAACTACCAAATAATAAAATAACATGAATAAAAAAATACCAGTCCGCCGGGGGTCCCAAGGGGGCCGCTGCCGCCTGGCGGGTTCAACTGCCCGGTCAGGTTGCGGGGTCAAGGGGGCAGCGCCCCTTTTGCGGGGTTCCGTTGGGCCACGCCCCTGGGGGTTTCCGGGGGCAGCGCCCCCGGACAAAATTATATTATAAGAGTATTTTGAAATTCTGCCTTGTGTATATGCTCAATACCGAGCGTACGGCATTTGTACCGATCAGTACCCGAGCATCGTACGCTCAGTAAACCGGCATCACCGTGTAATTTAACATGTAATTTATATTATTAGTAATTATATAAAATTCTAATTAATAATTATAATACTA